ACCTTTTACTCTAGTGAGGGACATGCAACAGATGTACGAGCTGTGGCTGCAGCTAACCAATCAGAGTCGGCGCACCGACAACCCCGCGGTGACCCCTCCCCCGGAGGACAAGCAGGTCACCATCACGGCGGACTACAGCGAGAGCATGGTGAGTTATTAGCCGCCATTGCCACCTTGCTTCCGACTTCACTTTGAATGACTCGTGGTCGACTATTGGAATATTCATTCCCCCCCTCAAAAAAATCTTTATCTCATCCCTGTGTGTGTGTGTGTGTGTGTGTGTGTGTGTGTGTGTCTGTGTGTCGTTCCAGGGAGGCCGGCGGTTGTCCGACGGAGACGACCTCTGAGTGTTGGCCAATGACCGCCGAGTTGCTGACAGAGACCGGCGGCAACTCAACAGCCTGTCATCTCACCAGTTTGCTCTCTTGCCTTGTTGGGAGCTGATGTATACACACACACACACACTCACACACACACATTTACACAACACGAGCCACAAATTTCAGCCATCAATCACCACGTTGAAGAAGCTTCGTTTGTTCCCGCAGTACATGTAGTTCCCTTGCACCCACCCCCCTGTCGGATTCCACTGCAGGATACGTTTAGCATTGACTAAAGTCCGAAACGCAAGTACATCGAACTGAAAATGTGCGTCCATCAGACACCCACCCGTTTTTTTTTTTTAATCCTCACAGCACCCAAAGCAAATCTCGAATGAGCGCGCTGGCCGCGGATCGTGCGTTTTGCTTGGCAATAAAGGAAGATTCTCTCGGAAGAACGGAGCTGCCGTGCTAAAAGTTGACCTTTTCAACTTGATCGTGCCAAAATAAATAAGTAATGCGCTCCAACGTGCTGTTCGAAGGCATAGTGAGACCCAAGTAAGCGTTTAAAAAAAAAAAAAAAAAGAAAAAAGGGTCTGGTGGACACCCTTAATTGTGCTGCAGTGTGACCAAACCCGACTCTCTCTACCTTCGTGGACATAAAAGCGAGAGAGTCAAAATGGATTTGTTTTTGCCGGGAGTTGTACTTCCCTCGTTATATTGTCTGCCATATTGGTAGAGCACTTTGAATGTAACGCCTGAACGGGCCTTTAAAAAAAAAAAAAGGAGGACTGGCGGGGTTGATCAATCGTGTAAAATGTGCTGTTTTTGTTGCTCCTATGCAAGTCGACTTACATTTCTAAAATCAGGAGCTAAACAATGTCCCCCCCTGCGTTCTTTTTGTGAGGTGGCTGTATCGTGCGTTTGCGCACACGTATGCACAAAACATCTGAACGGATAAATGGAATAATGGCCACATTGCGAAAATCGCATTGAAGAAAAAAAAAAAAAAGTCGCGCTATATGAAATGATGACCTCCGTTGGACTGATTCGGTGTCAATGCAGCCGCATGCAAAAGTCTTCTGTTGTATTTAATTAAAGCCTCATTTTGAGGCTAAAAAAAGGACTAAGACGATTCAACCAATTTGAGTGATTGAATCAAATGCGAAGTAGACGTTCTTGTGTTCGAATATTGACGCTAATTTGAAAGTAAAGGCAAGTTGATACCTCTCCAGTCCCAACCGAGGCTATTTTCCAACATCCGGTGGTCCATCTTAGCGGTTCTGGTGGCTAAAAGAAGACGGTCGATTCACACTTTTTGTTGTTGTTGTTTTTTTTTTTTTGTGCCTATGAGCAAAACGCATGCATACACACAAGCAAGCCTTTGATGCGAACACAGGCACAATGGAATTATGTCTATATTGATCTCACACACACACACACACATACACTCACCATATTTACATACAATGCTATCTATACTAATAATAATAAATAACTTAGCAATCAAGCTTGATAAATATATAACCAGAAGACTGTATTGATTACATAGAACCTTTTTTCTGTTATTGAGGTATTGCAATATGACATGTATCGCTGATCTAGATTATTAGAGTGATTTAAGGAGAAGGAAAACAAACAAAAAAAAAATGTTTTTTTTTTTCTTTTTTACGTTTTAATGTTTCCTTCCATGTGGGTTGTTCCAGACAAATGAGCGGGTTGCAGATTTAAATGGATGGCGTGAGAGCTGGACACTAAAGTGTAAGCGTTGTTAGCTGTGCCAATGAGCCCTCATCTGGAACAGCCCACCGTTTAGCTTCTTTGAGGGATCATCTTATTACTACTACTACTACTACTACTATTACCTTTAGTATTATGAATATGAAAATGATTGCTATCGACTATTTCTCTTCTATATGCTATTGATCATATGTACGTTTTATTGCAATGTATACCTACCTACGTATCCATGTATGACTATAATACCGGTAAATATGCGTCTTGTGTATGCAGCCTGTTGGGGGGAGGCGGTAAGCAGACGACAACGCGGACGTCCGAATGCCACAATCGGTCTCTGTAAGGCCTTCGGATAGCTGCGAAATACGTAGCGGCGGGTAGCGTGATCTGCTCGCTGCCCGTGCTGCGACTTTGCCAGACAAGAAGTGATCTGGGAATCATACACGGATGCTTATATACTCCTGCATAGCTATGCCTTTATATGATGATAACACACCTATAAGAATGATACATACCCTTATTGTATAACCCTGCTTACAATACACAGTCCAGGATATGATACCTGATAAGCTATTATAATACTTCAGCACCCCACTAAGGTCATTTAGATAAGTAATGGTGGAGCTGTTTTTTGTTCCCCCCCCCAGTGGCTTGGCAGATTTTACCGGGCTGGGTAGATGAAACCACACGTTCCTATGTTTTAGTTCATCAAACGCCTCCTGTGCACTGATTTGCAATCACCTTATGGAGGTATGCATAATGTTATATTAATATGCCCCCCACCCCCACCTGCGATTTGTTGAATTTGATAGCAATTTGCTGGTCAAACCCCCCCATACACCTATTTTTGCCTTTTAAGTGTTTATTTTGATGGAATAAGGTTGTGTGTTTTTCTCTGATACAACATCTCGCCAAGCCACACAGTACAAACTTCACTGTTATTTGTGTAACCAACCACCCCGCCCCCTTTTTTCATTTGATTCCTGGTACAAACCCACCTGCAGACCCCAAATTGAATCATGTCAATCTGTTCGAAGAAATGATTGTTTGTTTGAATTTATTTCAACAATCAGAAGATAGAAACCAGGGTTGTAAAGAAGTGGACAAACAAGGCCTCTGATTTTTGTACTGTATTTGGTTTTTTGTTTTTTTGTTTTTTTTTTTAATCAGTACATTTGTTTTCTGGTTTTTATGTTTTATCGAATTTGTTTTCTCTCCTCCCTGGTTGGAAGTTAATAAATACTCAAGTGGACCAAATCTCTTGAAAGCATTTAATAAACACTTTTAGAAAAACAAAACAAGCGAGTGTTTTCATTTTTTAATGATTTTCATTTTGCCATCATACTTGCATAATATTTCGAACTTTTAGAGGACGTCAACCTTTTCACATCAATGTAAAGAATCTGCAGCTGTGTTACAAAAAATATTTTTTTTTTCAAAAACGCCTGACTATACATGGTCATGTTTTCAAACACGCCTGACTATAGATAAGGGGTGCCCAACCTTTTTTGACCGAAGAAGGACTTTTCAAGCAACAGACGAGTGATGGGATTTTCGGCTCTTTTCGGTAATCCGGTTCATTTGGATCAGCTCAGTGAAAAGAGCTGGCTCTCAAACGGCTCTTTTAACTTCAGCTTTTCTTTTCAATATTTATGACAAATTTAGCATACATTTTGATAAATTACTTGGTGAACTAAATATTACACTCGAGTGACTGCAAATAGCAACAATTACCAAGCAAAAAAAATGGCTTTTTACTTATTTTATTGAACATTAAAAAGGCTCCAAACAATAACAAGCAACAAAATTAAACTTCAACCAACAACAAACATGCTGCATCATAACAAAAATAGTGAGTATTAACTGCAATAGCAGCAGTGAACAAAACAAACATAAGCTACTCCTTGATTTATTTTAACAAACATAAGATACTCCTTGCTTTATTTTTAATTTGCAGTCAACAAAACTAAATACTTCAACTTGGAATACTTCAATTTGTCCAGTCTTTGAGAACACCCTCTCTGACGGGACAGATGTTGCATCAATGCACAATCTACTCTCCATTACTTTGATCAAACGGGGGTAGACGGAAGCTCGGTATTTCCACCGGCTCAGTGGATCAGCGGCCCTTGAAATTTGTGGTTCTTAAAGATATGCCCTAATTTAGTGTCTGCAAACCTTCGTAGAAAGGGTTCTGTCAGTCGTCATCTGTACCTGTGGGGAAAAAAACAAAAAAAAAAACAAAAACAAAAAAAGTTTTTTTTTTTTTGTTTTTTACCCACAGGTACAGATGACGACTGACAGAACCCTTTCTACGATGGAACTTTCCTGTACGACTGAGAGCCTCCACAAGCATGTCTGCAAACCTGTCATAGCTGCCCTTATAAATGATTACGATTCCCCTGACAAAGCAACGAAAACCCGTACAACGGTTTACCGCGCATGCTTTATCAATCCGACCGTACGCAGCGATGAAAAAAAATATACGATTGAGGATTACTTTTGCTGGTTTGCCGTGACAATAGGAGCAATCGACGACGGCATTGTCGTTGGCTACCAGCAGGTGAGACGATCTGGATTTGAGCCAAAATGGTCTTTGTGAGATCAGTTCACAATTTTTTTTCCCCGTATAAAAGTTGTCATACGCCGTACGTGATTTGAAATGATAAAAAAAACCGTGTAAAATACGGGGAAAACGTACAAGTTGACAGGTATGCTTTTGTGTTTTTGCACGCTTGGCTAATACTGTAAATTAGATTCAGATTGCTTGCCAAACGCCTTTGTGGTCTCCCGGACAGTAGGGGGCGATATGAACATTCACGTCCAAATCACCAAGAGGAAGAATAAGTACAAGCACAAGAACGGTACCACATCCGGTTCAATGAGCAAGTATTTCCGCTGTCCACAAGCCCTGTTCTCAGTGAGTAATTTTAACATTTTAAACTGACTTCGCAGTTTATCTCTGAGTGTATAGATATAGAAGTTTGGGGAGCGTTATTAGGACACGTTGCTCCTCTAATTTTGTTGTTGTGACTCACGAAGTCACTGAAAGTTATCGTAAAAAGCAACGTCAGAAAAGGGGGCCGTGAGCGAGCACGCCGCCGACAAGTAGACCTCAGCTGTCAATCGAAAAGCAATCGAGAACAGCGTTTGATTTGACGACTATTCTGTATGTTTTCCACACCAAAGCTGCTATCAGCAGTGGAAGTGTGATGGCTTCACATCAGGGGGGGCAAATTTGTTTCAGAACTATTCACACAAATGCATCCGTGACTTTGTTCACTTGTTTTTCGAAATATAATGGTGATTTTCAAAAACTAAATCCTAAATTTCAAAGAATATGTGTTGACAATATCCACAGATATACTCGTAATTTTCACACGTGTTTTCGGGTCCTCAAATCCATTCACGATTTTCAAGTCGTTTTTTTTTCGATGTGGCATGTTCATTTCTCATGATTTTGACATCCCATTTTCGTCCGCTAGGCGGCAGTGTTGCTGTCTCCAATTCACGGGAACGACGTCTACCTCCGATTTCGTTTCAAACTTGGAAATTGATTCAAGGAAAACGAACTTTTAACAATTTGTTGATTTAACACAACTCTGGAAACAAAACACGACGGTAATTTGATCCCTCGAGCTTGTTTTGCTTTGACACAAAGATGTACTTTTTCTCCCGTTGGTCCGCTACTGCGACGCCGTAGAAGATGATGAGGTAGCAGCACACTGTGAAGGTTCTCCGTGTCAAGGCTAAACAAGCTCGAGGGAAACAAACTACAGCCGAATTGTGTTTCCCGACTTCGATGCAACAAAGTAGGCATATCGCAATCACTTTTCTTTTGTGGATGGTTGAACGATATTGAGTATTTTCAAGAGTTGAGCAGTTGATTGAAGGGAGGTTGCTCATTGTACTTTTGGTGTGGAGAGAGAGCCGCGAGCGGATCGCTCAGACAGATGCATTGCGAGTGTGGGCACGTTTGGAAATAGTACGGGTTGAAAGTAAAAGTCTGCCACTTTACGAATAATGACTCAAATTAAAAAGAAACAAAGTGTGTGACTTTCCACTTTTGTTTTTTTTTTTTTTTTCTGCCTGACCAGATTAATCAGATTACTGGGCCAAAGGCGCAGGCGCCGGACTCTGAGGACATGCGGAAGAGACGCCAACCTGCATTTGGACACGTGTGAGTACTGAGTTGTGTGGTGTGCTTGAAGAGCTGATGTCTGATGTCACGTTGCACCACAAGGTGGAGGTGACTGCACCCGCCTGTCTGTCTCTCACTCAACTGAAACTTCTGCTTCGTGTACTGCACAACAGTGTCAACTCCACAGAGACAACCCGAGCATCATCAAGCACTTCTGGTATATGTTTTTAAACCTTGAAGTGGACCAAGTTAGTTTTAAAATGTGTCTATGTAATGCATATATATAATATCTACATACATATGACTAACTTGGTCAATGTCATTTAAAAACTTGACCAGAAGAGTGTGATCATGTTGTTGTGGAGTAAATGGCAGTTAGTTTTTGTCTCAGTGAGAGAAGTCGGACATGCTCATGTCCCCCTTGGTGTGTCATGAGATGTCAGTGACCTCACGCGTGAGCTGGTCAAGCACATGCTCCCATCTCGGGCCTGTCGTCAGTGTTTGTGTGCGTGCAACTTGAGCTGGCCCACACAAAGATTGACTGGTAAAATGCTTTTACATTGTCATGTTCGCTTTCCTGTTCAATAAATTGTTCAACTTGAATCTGAGTCTTTGCCTTTCATGACTAAATCCATCCTCAACTCACTCGAAGCCTTTTCAAAGACTGACGTCTTGAGCTCAGACTTGCACTTGGGTCACATCAGACAGTCTTTTCACTGTTCCCGTTGGTCTCCACATGACTCGAAACTCCAGGAATCGAGCTTTTGGGTCATGCGAAACCCATGGGAACAGTGAAGAGACTGTCTGATGTGACCCAAGTGCAAGTCTGTGCTCAAGACTCAAGTGGAACTTTGACAAAGTGCTGCAATGCCCGCCCCCAAACCACACCCAATTTGACATCCACCAATCGCGGCGAAGCCCTCATTTGCATAAATTTACATAACCAACCAGAGTGGTTTAATTTGCATAACCACGCCCACTTTCCAGAATCCAACCAATCAGATTGCCCAAAATCTACATAGCCACGCCCTCTGAAACAACCACCAATCAGAGAACAGATTATTTGCATAACCACGCCCCCTTTTCCACCAATCGCATCGCGTTATTGTCACGCTCCACCCACTTTCACAGCTATCAGCGAATCATCAGCCATCATTCCAGCCAGGCCACACCCACTTTCCTGGATTTTTCTGCCTGGAAAAAAAAATCCAGGAAAAAAATTTTTGAAAAAAAAATTTCTGAAAAAAATTTTTGAAAAAAATTTCTGAAAAAAACTTTTGAAAAAGTTTAGAAAAAAACAAAATAATTTTTGTTTTTAAAAATGTGTTTTTAAAGTTAGATTGTTGTGATGTGTTTAAAAATGAAGTTGAGAGTTTAAGTGTTCTTTGTAATCAAGCTTTATTTCTTTTGCAGAGTAGACAATCACAAAGCAGAGGAAAAAGTTGCAAGTTGGATGGCAGTCTGCTTGTTGCTGGGCGGCTCTGAAGAACGTGGGACAGGTGTGTTGACCTGAGAGGAAAGACATCCGTGAGTTACGTGCAAGTCAATTTCTTGTGCAGACAATGTGTTAGGCATGAAACTTACTCGAGAGTCAGTGTTGGGTCTTTGGAGAGCAGGAAGCCGATCATGTTTACTGCTGCCTAGAGAAAGCAAAGGGGGTTCAAAAAAAAAGTAGTCATGATGGTGCATTGAACGAGTGTAAATGTCTCCTACTTTTCAGGCTGGCCCAAAGTTTGACTTCAGCACCTTGCGAAAAACAGGAAGAAGAGCAAAAAGTGTTGCCTGCAGGTCTGTGCTCGTAGGTGGACTCTGGCGGTGAGCAGGTTACTCCCTCTTGTGGCACGGAGGACCCAAGAACAATCTTCCTTCAACTCTGAAAAATGAAATCCGGCTTATTGAAATGAGACTTCTTACCAGCAGATGGCTCAGAGTCACATATCACCTCATCCCACTCCAACAGCTTGTCTGAAAGACAAAGCACAGGTCGGTAGACACCACTTGCAAACCAGAAACGCAGTTCCGTTGTACTCTGCTCCACATTTTTCAACTTGCTTCCCAAGTGTTGATTAACTGAGACTGGAACTTTTTGCTGCGACAGTTGCTCAAGCTGCTACTGGTCCAGTGACTCATCCAAGGTGGTCAAACCTGCCAACACCACAAACGAGGCCCCCCCCCTCACTCTTATTTCGTACCTTTCAACGGCAACGTTGCAAATGGAGACAGCAGTGAGGACCTTCTGCAAGCTTGTCGCATTTGTCTCTTTGCCCAGCAGGTGGAGGGTCACTGGAAGCTGCACTGCATGCAGAGTCAAAGAAAAATCTGGTGGGTGTGCTTAACAAAATATGCAGTGCTTTTTGGGTGGAGCTTCAGTCACCAGCCTGTGTGTGACAGCAGGTGGCTCGTGACGCCACGTTTCCTGAGGGCCTGCCGACAAGCAACGGGTCCAAACGTTGAAGAGGGAAGACTCGGATTCACAACGTCTATCGGGTCCTTGAGCACCATCTGGTGGACAAAAGCAGGACAAACACGCACATGTTGAGCAGGTGCCACTCCGCTGACAGTTTCCTCCCTCTCGCTCCCTGGTGCAACGCACCTGATTGGATAAGTGAGAGAGGGCCAGAATTAAGAGCCCCGCCACGGTTTGATTTGAGCCACAGGTGCACCTACTCAACCAGCAGGTCAACGAGCTCCCCGGGAGTTGGTTGAGGAATAGTTCCTGCGGTTGAAGCCAAACTTTTTTTTACATTTCTGGTTTTGACACTTGTCAATCTGTCGTAAATCGCCTGCCGATTTAATTACGAGTCGTCACACTTGTATAAAAGGGTTTGCTTCACTTGTGGGTTGAGCAGAGCTGGACGCCTCTTCGACAGCGCCGTGGCCTGAAAGACATGGTAACGTAAGCTCTTGACTTTTAAATATTCAACCTTCCAAGTGCCTGGCTCAGCACCCCGATATTTGGTCGACATGTCAAAGACCTGCCACAGCCTCGTGAAGCCATGGCCCAAAACTCCACAGGATGGCAGCCATTTTGTGGGTCGTTCTGTCGACGTGAGCCTGTGGAGACAGAAATGACAATCGACATTCGGGATTTAGTCTGTCGTGCGGCGGTATCTTAAAATGTGGCAGTTCTACCGTGTTGCAGTCAATTCGGCCATTCTGTAGCAGACGCAAAGCCTGTGGATATAAAAAGAGACAAATTAGATGGGCTTGCTCCAAACGATTCAGGACTTACATTCCACATTAAAACGCACAGCGAGTGGCCCGTGTTAGTCCATTTGAAGATTTGCACCTGTGAACAGAAATGACACAATTAGCACGCACATCGGCACGATACTTTGCTTTAATTGTGAATTTAGAAAATGAGTTTTGTCTACTTACCCTGTCGGCGAACGTCGCTTTTGTCCTAGAAGGTTGGGGAAAAAAAGGTTTTGTTACAAAGTAAGGTCGCAGGTGACGCTGATTGCTCACGCTCGAGCAAACATTTTTGCTGAGCATGTTAGCCAGGTGCGTGCACGTCTAAAGTGCTGCTTTCCATTCAAAGTGGGAGCCAAAGCGGTGTGTTTTAAGAGGCTATTAAAGAGTAAAAAAAAAAGTCACCTTGTTGGAGTTTACCTGGTCTTCTGGACGGGCGTGCGGAGCAGGAGCAGCATGAGGACGAGCGGAGGCTGTCGAAGGTGAGAAAGAATGAGTGCCTCGATGGCCCGGCTTAAATAGCCTTCCGCCAGTGACGTCACTTCCGGAAAGAAAAAAAAACCCTTTTAATTTGAAACAGGAAATGAAAGTGAAGATATTGTGTGGATAAAAATACGAGCGAAGTGATTAAAGCTTTACTTAAGTACAGAACCGGGGCTCGAACCTGAGTTCACCGGTGGAAAATCCCTGTCATTCTCCACTGGACTGTTCCTCCACAGCGACGTCGACTACTAATACCTCTATCGATTGTCATCACATCGTCCCGTTGAAGATTTGGTGTAGGTCTATAAATATAACCACCCGAAAAGTTTGGTCAGTGAATTAGCTTGGTCGAATGGATAACGACAATGCTTGGTACCCGGGAAAACCGGGTTCGATTCTTGCTTAATTTATAAATAGAGCACATGGTGGGTCTCGAACTCGGTTCGCCTGACCACTACTCGATGTCTTTTACCATTAGGCCATTCTGGCGCGAAAATTTCGAAATTTTTACATGTAATCATAGGGCGTCAGTCGTACGATGTGTTGAGAGGTTCAAAAAAATGAACATGTTTGGTGAGACGCTTGGCATCTCTCGTGGAGTGTTCGCTTCTGGTTCAAACTTCTAACTTCGGTGACGAGAAATCCGAGTTCGACTCTTGCTAAATTGAAAATGGAGAGCAGACGGGGGTTCGAACTCGTTTCGCCTGCCTACTCAGCGATGTATTTTACCACCAGGCCATCCCGGCACAGAAATTTCGAAATTTTTTAATGTCGTCAAAGGCGGCCGACCACACGAGTCCGTTTTTTTGAAGGTAAAAATAAAAAGAACATAATTGGTGAGACCGTTGGCGTCTCTCGTGCGCGATGTGACGGCACTCCAACCTCACCCATAACCCATCGACCACGCCAGTATTTCCTACTGCCTGCCTTCAGAATGCCATCCTGAGATTTCGATTCAAGACGAGTTGCACAAAGAGATCGTGTCGTTTTGTCATTTTGCTTTCTCTGCGATCGTGAATAAAGTGCAAATAAAACACCCATACGCACACTTCCAAACGTGCAAGCCAACTTTATTCATTGTTTCAAGATGCTTTGTCGATCAGGGCAACTCCGCTGGAATAGTTGAGACGCAAGTCTCGTCTGGATGCTTGCGGGGTGCTCTCTGCTGGTCCCAACGGGGCCGGGGGTTGAAGAACCTGTAAAACCCAAAGGATCGCGTTGAAATCAAACTTCGTTTCATGTTGGGGAGGAAACATCGGATGACTTTCTGAGGGCCGCGATAACTTTTCCCCCTCAAAGTATTCACTGTATATCGATCAACATTTCGGTCTCAAACTCCAGCACAGGGCCCGCCATTGGCAAGGGGAAACAATAAACCCGATTTCGCTTTCCAATGTCAGCTAACAGCAGTAAGAATCATTGTAAAATTCGACCGCAAACTCGCAAGAGGCTCGCGCCAGTCGTCGACAAGGTCTTTACGAAACGTAAGGGCGCCGTCTACTGGTGACCAATAGGAATGACAAACCTTCGACTGAAGTGGCTCTCAACTTTGCAAGTACTGTACAGTCCCACCGAAAAAATACAACTCTGGGTACCTTTATCAGGTGCTGTCTCACCATGTTGGTCTTTGTCGTTGTGTTTATAATCCTCTGGACGAATTGGAACTGGGAAAGTCAACTCCTTTTGCATACCTGTCAACCTCGGCTAATAGCTGCCCTTATCAATGATTACGATTCCACCTACAAAACAACAAAAACCCTTATAACGGTTTACCGCGCATGCGCACATCATGCTTTATCAATCCGACCGTAAACTGCGATGAAAAAAAATATACGATTGAGGATTACTTTTGCTGGTTTGCCGTAGACATCGACGACGGCATTGTCGTTGGCTACCAGCAGGTGAGAAGATCAGGATTTGAGCCAAAATGGTCTTTGTGAGATCGGTTCACAAATTTTTTTTCCCGTATAAAAGTTGTGATACACCGTACATGATTTGAAATGATAAAAAAACGTATAAAATACGGGGAAAACGTACAAGTTGACAGGTATGAAAATCGCACAACAGACAGACAACAAATACGTCTTTCGGAGCAATGACCCATTTAATACACTCACACTGCAGCTTTGCCATAAAGTGCAATCATAAGCATTTGAAATTTATGCCAAAAAACAAACCAACAAACAACATAACTGATATTTATAGCATTTCTTTAAACTGGACATTAATATGGATTGCTATGGCAAAAAAAGAAAAAAAAATGTTTTGAGACATCATATGGCATTGGATTAGGACAGAAAAAAAATGATTGTATAAAAAGTAAAACGGTTGTAAATAAAAATCCTTGGCAGCGACAAGTAAAGACATCATTGATGGGTTGCTCCTCAAAATTAGTGCTTTGGAATACACGCGTGAAACTGCCCACTCACCTTCAATGTAAACAAGTTAAGGCCAGTATCATCCCAAAGACGATACTATGAACTGAATGATCTCAGAGCTACAATAGTGAATCTCTCATAAGGCTCATTTCAAAATAATACAACCACATAGTTTTTTTTTTTTTTTTTTTGGTATGTTACTTTTTTTTCCACTCCTTCCACATTATTAGACCAAATTAAAACAAACATTCTCTGAGGAGCTCATCGAGGAGCTCCAGATGTGTGTCTACCTATGAGGAGAGTTAAGGAGGCACAGCATTTGGGCTCCAGTTATGTCACAATGTGACCCCCCCCCAAAAAAAAATGGTGGCATGTAATACAAAAAGTGACCACCAACAAGACGAAGCAAACGAGGAGCGACACGTCGTCACAATAAGGTGAAGAAGGGCACACTTTGGTGAAAGTGAAGGAACGGCGAATCCACGTTCCCTCCGCGACGGGAGAGACCACAGGACAACATTTCGAGAGTACTCCCGGGACACGTGAACCCCCCCCCCACGCCGCAAAAAAATATCGATATAAACCAGCAGATCACAACAGACTGAAAAATAGTCAAGATATATTGTAGAAAAAGCAAGAAGAGCTGTACTTGAACACTTCTGAAGTCAAGAACTGTCATCCACGAATCCTCCCCCTGGAAAGTGTTTGTTTGCCTTCTTCATTGCTTTGCATCCGTTACGGGAGAGTCCGGCAAACGCGCGTGTCGTCGTGGCTGCGACTGGCCGCCTCGATCCTCAGCTGTCGGACCGCCACGTTTGTCGCGCCTCCACTTCTTCCGACACCACCAGCAGAAGTTCACAGTTCTTCCCTCGCAGCTGCTGGCGGAGGAACTTCCTGGTTTGTCAGTCAGGGTTGACAAGAAAACACAATGGCCTCCGTTAAGGAAAATAAAACGGAGCTGTTGCCTAGCTTAGCGATGACATATGGTCGCGGGACATCCCGGGCGACCCTCACCTGAGCTCATCTGGACTGCCGATGGGTTGAGGGCCACGCAGCTTGGAGTCCAGGTTGTAGTAGACCCCCGCCACTTCTCGCACCCCGATCCAGTGCTGGCGTTTAAGCGGAAGCTGCAGAGGTCCCCAGCGCAAATTGGACGGAACGTTGAGAATGAAGCCGGTCACGTTGGACAGCTCGATGCTGCCGACGTCTCTGGGATGGAGGAAAGACAAAAGCTTGTCACATCCCGTTTACCGATCGCGGTATTGAATGAACACGGAGAGACATGAACAGACAAAGAAGTGACGTATTTCGACTGATAACTATTCGTATGACCAGGGCTACCAATTTGCAATGCTGGTTACCCCGATTTAATTTTTCATATCCAGGTGATGTCATGTGGAACCCCACACAAGCTTTGCATTTGCTCCCGGTTAAATTCTGCAGATGTGCCTCATGTTTTGGCCCGTTGATTGATTTGCAGTCATGTCTGTGTCGAAACAATGAAGCACCACTCGGGTTAATCATTGGTCCGTTTTGGCTCGGGCCAAACAAAAGAACAATAGGGCTTTTCTGATAACGGAGAGAAGCGCAACTATGATTGGAATCCCGAATCAAAAAAAAGAAATCAAACTGATTAAAAAAACAGAAATGGAGCCAAATGTCACTTGAGGTTACGTTGGATCGGTGAAGCAAAGTCATGTGACGGCGCTCGGGGGGCGCCAGCTTCTGCGGCAAAACAAAACAAATAGGCCACGCCAGCAATGCTAATAATAAGTGAAAAAATATATAATCATAAGTAGCTCAATATAACAGACCAGAGGTCACATTTTTTTCTTCCAAACAAAAATAATCAAATCAACAGAATGCGTGGTTAACCCTTTCAGGGACAGCGGTTACTACAGTGGATAGTTAATCATGTGATCAGGTTACAGGTTGTCCTGATTGGTGCATGAAAGGGTTAAAACTCATGACCTGTCCCATCTGTAGCTTTCAACAAACAACTGAGGACAATTTGGCCCACCATCTTCCTTCAATTCCCGTTTCACCCACCTCCTTTTATCCCACCAAACTGCCTCAAAGCCTCGCGTCTGCAAGGCGGCCATGATGACGTTCACGTCATAGTTGCCGTTTCCCAGCATGCTCTTCTTGTGAGGCGTCACCAGAGTGCTGGGCGAAAGCCTGCGAGAGGATCCCATTAGCCGCATTTCATGTGTAATGAGGGGAGTGGGGGGACTCGTTGACAAACGTCTCCCCTTACCTCTGGTAGATCTCCTGCAAGGTGTCCCTGCTGAAGGCCGACCCGTCCTGGAAGACGTTATTGAGCGCGTGCAGGGCGCACAGCTCCCGCCGCTGCTTCTCGTGGTAAATCGCGGGATGCCCCGCCGAGGCTCGAGGAAGCTGCGGCGTCATGAGCATGCACGTGAAGGTGGGAATATCCTGCTGCGGATCCCTGCCCTTGTGCTCCTCCGCTCCCACCGGCCCACCTCCACATTTCTGCTTGCTGACCTTCCAGGGCATGCAACCCAGGTCCTGAAGACCCCCTTTGCTCTTACCCTTCCACTCGCCACCTGGATATGGCGTGCTGCCCATCCCGCGTCGTTCGCCACAAACCTTCGAGTCGCTACATCTGCATCTTGTCAACCATCGCCATGGTAACCACTCCGCTGCCTGGACGAGAGGAGCTTTGGGGTTTCTGATTTGATTGAAGGAGAAGTGAGGGTTCACGCCTTTATGGAGATTGACGCTATGCCTTGAATGGTAATTTTGGAAGGCATGGGAAATGGTGGACGTGAAGAAGGGAATCCTCTCCGAAATTGAAGATTACGCCTCGTCCGCAGTGACGACCGTCTCCATCCTCGATGTCATTTGGCGTTGATTGATTCTACCAGCTTATAGTTTTTGTGTCCTTTGCTCCATCACCTTGCTGCCAAACTTCCACTGTTGTGGTAAACAAAACCAAGAAACACACACACACATACACACACACACATGAAACACACGAAATAACTGGACCGAGAAAGCCCAACAGCAGCACTTAACAACAGTCCATTAAAAAAAATAAATCACAAATCTCGATTTGGTCAGCAGACCCAAGCATGACAACATAAACATCCTCAGCAGCTTTGGAGGAAGCTGCTTGCTCATTTAGCTAGCAACAACACAACAGCCTCGCAAAGAACCCCACCACACACAGATTATAGTCTTTTCCCACACTCAGAATCACAAAATAGCCTTCCAAAAAAATACATGTCCAGAATGGAGCCAAGTCGCAGCAATGACAGCTCGGGCTTGTCTTGTGCCTGCACGACGTGACAAATGTTGTCTTGAGCAAACAACCCCTACCGCCTCCTCTCTCACTCTCTCGCTCTTTTTTTACGTTCAGTAACTTCGTTTTGGGGCGACGACAACTTACCGAACCTCTTGTGTGTGTCCCCTAGCCGACTGTCGCTCATAGCTTTGCGGGCTAAAAGCGGACTCTTGTTGTTTTCCCTCAAGGCAGTTGCCTCCTTTGTCTTTTTTGTCACTTTTCACCAAGTGGCTCCTCCGCGGTGGCTGCGTCTGTAGGCGCGCATGCGCACTGGCGTCACTCCGGCTCCATGTTGCCGCGACTGCGTGCGTCACTCAGCCGAGGGAGGAAAGAAAAGTGAACGAAGAGGGCCGAACCACACCTTTCCACCTTATTGTTTCATTGTCGTGACGCAATCAAAGTCGGTATTCAAAAAAAATCTTTTGTGGATTCATTGTGCACCCAAATACTATTTACAGAAGGCCAAAAATACATATGAAGTCATTTCTGAGAAAGGCAAGCATATGTGCCCCCCCCAAAACTGAATTGTGACTGCTTTGCCCCTCGTCTTCTGTTTTGTCTGTGCAGATTTCAGCCTTTATGTGCTGCCATGACAATCTAAACCTGTCCAGAGCTTTCAGAGTCAGTAATGTTGTAATGCTTTTGTATATTTAAAAAGATTATCAATCGGACGGTGCCTTTAAATTTAGAATTTGCCTCACAGGGCCAGTGAGCTGGCTCACAAATACTTCAGCATTTTCCCACCCCCTTTATTTCAGGGGTGGACAACTGTCAGATCGGTTCTGTGCCATCCTTGAATGGCAATTTTGACGAGAGAGCCCTTTGGACCCGAAAAAACAAAACTGAATGTGCGTATTTTGTTCTTGAAAGTAAAATTCTCATGGATGCATTTGTGCTCCAAAAGGGTGAGTGAAGAATTCTTTAGGCCTCTTGAATTATGTGTTCCATACGAAACAATTTCACTCAATGAACTGACCATTCCGCTTTGGTTTCAGACATTTTTGCACGATGTTTTCCAACGGACCATCACAGGCGACTTTCCACCAGTTCAACCTGGCAAAAGGCATCATCTGAGTATGTCACCTTAAAATGGCATTTCAGCTGTCTTTCCACATAAAGGAAGAGCAAGTCCAACCATTCTCTTGTTTCCCACCAGCGCGCATAGTACGGCCTCTGTGTAGCTAATCAACATAGCAATGTGGTGTGAAACTGTTGGAATGTAATCTCCAACATGACGCATCTTTCTCACTCTCCCATCGCCCCAGCCAGCTCTAAAGATTATAGATATACACACACACATAGATATGACATAATGATTTCATAGCAACGCTGTGTATCACATTATCTACATGTGTTCCAATTTTGAGCTCAGTGCAGAGGTCATGTCGGCTAGCAGCTTCTCTCGGACGCGTTCGTCCATCCTTTGCAGCTCGTGGACAAAATGTCCCCTGAGCCCCTTCAGCTCGAGGACACGCCCCACCAGCAGCCTGCGCGTCACCTTCTGCTCCTCCGGGGACCGATCCCGCCTGGTGTCCAGCAGCTCGGGTCTCTGACCGCAGAGAGACGTCAGTCCGTTCACGCCGCCGGCGTCCCTGTCCAGCAGCCGCTCCAGAGTGTGCCGTCGACCCAGGCGGTCTGCGTGGGTGAGCACGGGGACGATGTGACCTCGGATGCCATCTCCGAACAGTCGCAGCGTGGCGTGGATCGCTCGCATCGCCTCCTGTTGCGGCACTTTGCCGGAGTGCGGCGCCTGCATCACCAGGAGGATGGCGTGAGGGCCCGGAGCTGCTAGCTGAACGCTTCTCAGAGCTTCTCTGGCTCGAGTCATTCCCCCCAATGACGCCCCCAAGAGATCCGGCGTGTCGATGACGCTAAGTTCCCTGCTGTCCACTATGGCCCTTCTGATGGTGCTCTCGACGAGAGGTTCTTCTGGTTCTTCTGCCCAGCAGTCCAGCAAAGTGTTTACCACTGATGTGCGTCCTCCACCGGCGGGGCCCACCACGATCAGTCTGAGGCCTGCTTTTATGGGGCTGGAGAGGTTCAGTCTCATGGACTCATTCTCCAAATACCCGTCACTGGACCCTGCAGAGGTGTCAAGGTCACTTTCGTGAAGTACTTTTTTTTTTAATCAATATTAATCGCACTGAAGTGGATCAAGTAAAAAAGTCAAGAAGATGAAGAACTGACCTGTGATGGTTCTGATGATAGGAAGCATCCACTGGAATTTGGCGGAAAATGCTGACGGAGGAGGATTCATGGATACAGTATTTTGGTTATCACTTTTTTTTTTATAAGGTGTACTTTTTCCACTTTTTGTTTTGGAGACTGCGATGACTGGAAAAGTCAAGGAAGTGTGAAGAGTGATTGATTACCTTTGATAAACTTCCAAATTTGAGACAAACATTTACACAGGCTCTGGATTCCTGCAAGACAAACCAGAGAGGACACTTTGTTGATGCGCCGACAGTTAAGCCACGATAGGAATTCATCCCAAGTGATGATTGTTGGCACGGCGTACCTCGGAGGGTCCCCACGACGCGGCTCACCCAGCCCCAAAGAGCCGACAGACCTGAGCGACACAGACGAGCGTAACAATCGCGGTGACCATTCTCATTCTGAACAGTACGTCCGGTCGAGTCGACTCACCGGTTAAAGAGCAGAAGAGACGAATCGGCCATCGGATCAGTGCGGGAAGGGCTGCGGGAGGAGGACAAGACAGCTTCGAGCGGGAAACATTGCTTCGACTTGCCAGAAACGCTTTCAAAGTATTTTAGAAGCTAAATATTTGTTTTGTTGATACATTTGACGACATTTCCATGTAGGGGCTGTACTCACTTTCCTTGCCAGAGCTTTGGACATTTATGGTTATGGGCCGATTGGCCAGACTGACCGCTTTACATTCCAGCCAAGTGTAATTTTCGGATGTCCAATTAAAAATAATTCAAGGTGAGACACTGATCAATCAATATATCAAATACCCCGACTAGTGGATGAGTGCAAGCCGATTCACTTTCTCGTCTTCTATCTGCACAGCGACGATAACATGACTAGTCAGTGCGAGGGGAATCTTTCCGTTTTTCCAAAAGAAGCTAACCGATGTGTCATCGCGTGACTGACTCTGTGAGAATCTGTACAGAAGATACCCCACCACGGTGTAAGCGCCCATCTGGGCATTGCTGCTGCTCAGCCACCAGCCTGAAGAGACAAAAAAATAAATAAATAAAGTGACTCATGAAAGATATATTTTGTGACCGAATTCACGTTTCCTTTAATGTTCACTTCCTGAAGAGCAGGTGTGCCAATACCTTTTGTCGACGTTCAGTGAGTTGATCAAATACGAGTGTCTTACCTGTAACGGCATTATCTGTGTTGTTGGCTTCGCATTTACAATCCATTTCACTCCAGTAGATTGCTGACCCTCGTCCACAACACAACGTGAGAGCACACCCAGTCTGCAGTTAAACATTCATTTGAAAAGATCAACAAGTGGATCAAATGAGTTGCAATTTGCAGAGGAGTTGTTCAAAAGTCTGCTTTACCTTAAAAAAAAAAGATTGGCCTCCTCCTTCTTTTTACTAAGTTAGACTTTGATCACACTTTGACTGTGATCTCTTCTTTGCCTGCGCGGGCCTGCCCACCTCCCAAACAAGAACACACACACACGAGCTGCTTATGTTCAGGCGCCGTGCGGCCAAACAATGCGGCGTTAAGCTTGTCACGCAGCAGCCGTTCTTTCCTCGAACACACCTTTGTGGGACGAGTTGAACTGGAAGTGTCGCCATGACGGATTGCGCCGCCGCTCAAATATTCGAGATGTGGAATGAGTACAAAGTTTTATTTTTGCAAAGCGTCATCAAGTAAATCAGATCACATGCCAATGCAGATTTTTTTTTCCTAAACAAAAATTAAGACTGCGTTCCTGTGGCCGATTAAAGAGATGAGCAGTGAGATTCCAGCATGTGTAGTCCTAGCAAGCACCTGAGGACGTCTGAGTGACACCCCGAAGCAATTTCAGTCATTTAAAACGATTGGTCACACGTTTCCAAAGTAGATTCGCAACCGCAATCAAGCATAAATGACCCAGTGAATGGAAAATGAGCACGGTGTGTCACTCATGTGGCCAGTTTGTCAACCAGCGCGTCCATCAGTTCCTGCTTCTTGGTGCCAGTGGTCCGAACGCCCAACTGCTTGCAGGCCTCCTTGAGCAGCGGCACCGTCATCTTTCCCAGAGTGCCTTGTTGGATGCGCGCTCTCAGCTCATCTTCGGATACCGCCACTTTGGGCTTCTTCTCCGCCGTGCCGCCAGCTTCTGCTTCAAGTCACGACAATCAACAACGTAAGAAAAAGAGCGTGCTAAATACTTGCACGATTCGGGAACGAGCACGTCTAAAACTTTCCGCACGACTTCACTGCTGACCTGCTTTGCGTTTGGCGGCTGATTTGTTGTCCGGGTTGTAGTCCGCAGGGTAGACAAGATCTTTAAACTCCTGGACCAGAGGGCCCAGCCGGCGGTCAATCTGGTCCACCTTTGGCACTGGAGAACACAGCAAATCGAAATGAAATGACTGCTCAACGGACGGCAAATTTGGTGCGGCTTTGTCTTACTGATGAGGTCCTCGATGTCGTCTGGTGCCATCATATCCAGAGCCAAGGCCTCCAAGTTCCTGTAGTGTTGCTGGAGGACGGGATTCTCAAATGCGTCGCTCCTGCAAGACGTTACAAAGGACGACCACAAAAAAAAAAATCAGAATACTATCTGTGGTTGTCATTCGAGGTGAGCGTTTTCGATCGAATCCCTGACCTATACTTAAAGCGCAGTTTATGGACAATCTCCCTCATCTTGTCCACCTGCGTTGGAGAAGCGCACGGAGTCTGCGGGGGATCCAGATTCCGCAAATCATCAGCATACGGCAGGTAAATGACATTAAAACCTGTTGAAATGAGATGAACGATGATTGCCCGCAATTGCCCGCTTGCCGTCGTGTGCGCCAGTAAGGTCGTACCTGGCGGCGTGGTCTGTACCTTCCCCTCGTCTAACTCCTCTTCCTGAGGCACCAAGGCAACAAATCGAGGCGGGTAATTTCTGCGGGAAATGCAGCGGCACAGAGCAAAGACGTTCCTCTCGACGCATTTTGTCAACAGTGCCGAGAACAGACAGGAGCTTCCTGGGGAGGAAAAAAAAAAAAAAAAAAGAGTATCATTTAATATTTTCTAAACTTCTGACTTACTGACTTCTGTTTACGCCACACTTGTGAATCTGACTCATTCACTCCCAAAGACGTATTTATACGTCTTTTCAGACTCCGCGCTTCAATCCCAGGTACTTATTTATACAGTGTATATTTTTTTCTACTCTTTGAACTGTGCTGTTACCTTTCACCTCGCCCTCCGCGGGGTAGAGGAAGACAGCCGGACGAATATGGTGGTGCACTTTGAGCTCTTCCATGGCTTTGAATCCGATCAAAAACAAACCGGGATCATCAAATTTCTTGATGGCGTCCACTTCATCTTTCTCCATCACAATCTGCTTGTTGCCATACACCTGCAACAGGAAAGGCGGGGGGAGATTCCTATTAAAAAGACTTACGGGTGAAAAAAAAAATAAGTTGCTAATTTCAAGAAACCGTGTTCCTACCTGGGCTTTCTTTATCTCGCTGGGCAGCAGCAGGCTTCCCGTTTCGGTATGGAAGGTGCGAGATTTGCTGCGGACGGGCTCGTTACTTTCCCTGTACAGCCTGATGGCACCTGGTTTCCGAGCGGTCACGGCGACTGCGTACATTCCCACTGCGACATTAACACCCTCGCCGAGACACAGATTGAGCCTAAAGATCAGGAAAAGGCGTCGAGAAGACGAGAGGGAAATGAGCACATCAGCAAAAGAACGACTCGAAAAGTGTGGCGTTGGAACCGAAACCGACTTGGCCATCGTTCTCTTTTTTTGCTCTTTGGCCCGCACTCTCCTCTGGAGGTCTGCCAGTTTTTCACAAGGCTCATGCTGCAGGCCCAGCTCGCTCTCGTCCTCCGGCGGACTTATGACATCACGGAAGAAGAGGGAGACGTCGAAGCCACCCGCTTTCATCAAGTGCATTAGCTCTATGACGACGCCTGAAACAAAACAAAAAATAGGCGGATAAACGTATTGGGACACCACAGAAACCTTGCCACAATTTCTCTACTTCCAATTTGGGAGCATATAATTGTCCAAAGTGTCTTGGTTCAATGAAGAGCGACGATAACATGGTTCTAAACCAACCCAATTCATTAAATCAAAGTTAAATATGTATGTTCCAAGATATTTGTTGTTGTTCACATGGAGTAGTAGTTCATTAAAGTAGTGACGCCTTTCGATCGCACAACAAGCATTTACTACTTGGGACCCACCAGTTTCTCTGAGGTCACTGGCTTGTGTGCGAGCCTGTCGATCTTTGACACTGTCGCCCCCGTGTGGTTGATCCCTGCATGTGAAGATGAGGAGGCGTTTGTGCCCGAGCCGGAGCTTGCAGTCCCGGTACAGATTGGCACAGCACCACAGGGCGTCGCACAGCGATGTTTCGTCACTGCCCATTGTCTCTGCTGCCAAGAGGGCACCCTTTTCCCCCCGTAGCGCATCCACCTGCTGCACTCGCTTTGCACCTTGGATGTAGAGGGAGATGAGCGATAGATAATTGAAATCAGTCCAACCTTAAATCCACGTAATGGTCTTGTTCAAAAGCAAAAAGACATTAAAAAGACTTGTTCCCAAATTTTTTAGAAGCTGAAAAAATGTCTCACCAAGTTCACTCAAGTTGTGGTAGACATAGACGTGCTTGAAAGATTTGGTTGGGTCTTGGCTCTGCTTGGTGCCATAGAAAACCAATGCTACGAGGTCTCCGCGACTGCTTATGATCTTTCTGGTGTAGACGCTGCGCACGACCTACAAGAAATAAAGCCCTCTTGACTCCACGTGCAGGATGGAAACAGACTGCGTGGATGAGTTACTTACTTGCATGGTCATGTCAAAATTAGTCGGCTCCCCATCTTCTCCTTTGATGAACATTTCTTTTGAAGCATCCACCAAGAAAACGAGACAGTCTCGTCCTGTGACTTTGTAATCTCCTGATAAAGAGACAAACGAGTATGGCGAAAACTCCCACACATACAAAAAAAGACCACAATTCAAGTGTCCAATGCAAAGACGTGCAGTAGGTTATTGATCGCACCTTCTGGTTCCTCTCCTTCCTCCGGTGCTTCGCCGTCATCTTCATCTCGGAAGTAGGCGTTCCATTCTGCCATTGTTGATGCCTGTCACATGTTAAAGAATGGCACAATAGAGTGACTCGTAACATTTCTCGTTTGTAACTTACCCTAAAATCTTAACCGTATTGGTCGCACAAGGGAGTGGAGAACTAATGGGGTGACGTTCGCGTGACTGACTAAATCCATTTCTACGCTACGAAGTAGGTTAGCTAGCTTCTGATTAGCCGCCAAAGATTTACTCGCGTTGAGACGTGGTTGCGACGTAGACTCGATTGCAGTCTCCTGGCGCTTGAAAACTATCGAGTTTCCTCATGGAAGTAGTTATTTTAGACGAGTAAAATCACTTACCGACTTCACAGTAAAGAGTTCAAGCAGTGAGTCCAAGCAGTCCAACTACCACGACGAGTGGTGCAGAATACCGCGCCTCGCCGTTGATTGGTTACATTTTGTTCAACCAAGAAATGGACCAATCGAATTGCAATAGGCGGGGTTATGGTTTCAGGAAATGATTTATTTTGGGCGAATAAAGTCACCTATTCTGGTTAATTCGTTGTACAATTAGTTTGAACAAACCGCAACAGATTCAGCAAAGAGGTTTCCCGACAAATTGTTTTGTTCTATTCAAAGATAACAGCATCTCCAAGAAAAACGGGACCTCCCGCTGTTAAGGTTGCTGTAATATTAGAAATAGCCACAAGGTGGCACCGTAAGCTTACAATTGAAGGTTGGGGGTCAAGGGGTCACTCTTGGCTTTCTTGTGAACACGCTTGCATCTTCTCTCTGGGCAGATCGTTCGACGGTAGATTTGTTTCAAGTGTTAATTTAAATGTAAATGCATGTATTTGTGCTTGGTGAAATTAATAAGCCTACTTGCACGATCTCACTTTGTACATTAAACGCACATTTATGCCAAAGCTCTGTGTACATCATATTTCATGACTCTATAAATAAATTCTGTTAGACTCTGACATCAACGAGAATAAATTCTAAGAAATAAATACTACATAAAGCCCTTTTCCAACTAATTGTGTACAACATTTACATAGATTCATAGTTTTACGACGCAAAAAAGAGTTTGACAAAACGTTACACAAATCCCAAAATGCCATGTTAAAAAAAAACATGAATTTATATAAAGCAGTAATTGGGTGAACAAAACGCATGATTATTGACGCTTAACAACATAGTTCTGATTTGATAAACATCGATTGCATATAAAACAGTTTCTATCAAAACTAGCAGCGACTAAAATCAAAAAGCAAGAAATGAACCAGTTTTGTGGATTTCTTTTTTTTTTGTGTGTGTTCATGCGTGCATGAATTTGGCACATGTACAGATGAGGAAATTGAGATTTATTATAGCGGAAGCTAAATAGGCAGGTTGTTTAGCTAGCAAGGTATGGCAATTGTTGACTGGTTTGATCATCATTTCAGAGTTGTCCGATTTTTTTTTTTTTTTTTTGTTATTCCGCAAAGAACTTTCCACTTTTTCCACGTAAACCAATAAATGTCACCCAAGTCTCACTTTTCTTGCACAAGTCCACGAATGTCAATATCTGAACACATTTCCCTAACTGCACTGACAAATAAGATCAACTAACTGTTGCTTATCCGCGGCAGCATGTGGATCTGCATGGTGTCTTTTGCTATCCAGGCTTTAGTTGTGTTGAAAGCTCCAGGCTTGGAAACGCCTCCACGGATTTCTCTGCAATAGTGCCTGAAGGCGTCAAAATAACACGGGAGCGTCCTCACAGGTCCACACACTGCGAGTTCTGACCCAGACAGTTCAGTAGTGAGAAACTCAGATTCACAGTGACTCGTTGCATTTTCTTCCCCCGAGGAAGGAAAACAGGAGTTTGTTTTCTATTTTCTCTTCTCTCCTTTCTCTCCTTTTTCAAAAGGGTCCAAGCCTCTGGCTCTTACGAGCTGCCTTTGCTCTTCTCCCCCCCTCCATGGTCTTCCGATGGAGCTTGATGGGAGTTGACATGATGGTGGCATTGTCCTCGCCGTTGAGTTAATGTCACCCCGGGGGCTGCTGTCCCTGTATGCTTGGCCTGATGGCACCAAAAGCAAAACACGACATAGTGGAGCAGGGATGGGAGAGTTCGAGAGCCAAGCAAAAGGTACACGGGGAAGCCAGCTGTGCAGAGAGGTAGACAATGAGATGCAAAATACTCTACCCCCCCCCCCCCCCCCCCCCCCAGGCTCAGTGGAGCATCTACAAAAGAGTTACATACAGTTGATTGTATTCTAACAAGATGAGAACAACTTTCACAATTGCAAAATGTCCTAATGCTGTTTTTTAAAAATGATCAGACCCCATAAATCACAAATAAAACACCTTGAGCCCTGCTTTGTGTCTCTGTGCCAAAGACCGTAAAAGTAGCTGAAGTGGTTTCAGTCTGAGGATTTGTGATGGTGGTCCGAAGGAGCCTGAGTGGTTTCCAAGTAACCTTGCTACATTTTCCAGCGAGTCGACACAATTTCAACAAAATACAACATGCTTATTGGTTTCGAATGTTCTTCTCTTGTCTTCCGTCTGCCAGATGTTTTTGACTCCCTCAATTTTACTGGTAAAATCTTTCTTCACCTTTCACCTCTTGGGCTCCTGATCCCAAACTCTGGTGTTTTCACTAGCACCAGCTTTCAGAATGTAAAAACACGACCGGCCACATCGCTCAGACTGTTACTTCGGTAGAACTGTGTGTGGCGTAGTTCTTTTGCCTGGTGTGTTGGTAGTAGCTTGGATGAAAAGGGTGTTGTTGCATGTGGAAATGCACCCCGCGCCCCACCACGCTTCCTTCTCCGCCTCCTGCGTACATCCCTCCACAGGGCTGGCTAAAAAGATCCGGCATGTTCTCAATGCTCTGTTGCCGACGGGTGGAGTAGCCGTGTCTCCAGTGGGAGGCGTGCGTGGGCCCGGACCCCGGGGCCGAACTCTGCCTTTGGACGTGGCGACCGACCGGCTCCCAAGCTTTAATAAAAGCCGGGTTGGAGAGCAGTGGGTGCGTGGTGGTCTTTGGGAGGTGGGAGTGCTCCAAATGGTTGGAGGGGATGGAGATGGAAAGGGGAGCGTGGAAGTTGGATTGCGACGGAAGGTGCTCGTGGATGTACGACTTCTCTTTGGGCTGCACCGGCACTGGCTGAAAGGAGGGTGCCCGATAGTGGGCAAAGTCCATGAGTGGGAAGCTCTTGTAGTAGCTGTGAGATGCGCTGTCCGCTGCAAATGAGGAAAAAGGCAATAAAAAATGACCACCTTATATTATTGAAGGGCGACCCCGGTTCGATTCAGGCTCTGGCCTTATATTGGGCTGAACGATTTAGAAAAATGATCTACTTCCCCCCAACCCCCTCGGTATTGCGATCCCCAAGGACAGAAGCTACATAATGTGATGAAGGGACATGACAGACATTTTAAGGTATGTGTGCCAGGGTGTGGTAATGTGGCAACAGTACTTTATAAATACTCTCGCCCAGAGTCCTTTGTGTGTTTGCGTGTGTGTGTGTGCACGCATGCATGTTTATGTATGTGTCATGGGATGGCATGAATGTCAAAGGGAATGATATAAATAAAGCAAACACTAAGGTTATCGCTGCAAGCGTTCTCGCCTTGTGAACAGTTTTTTTTTTTTTTATGTGCAAGTTTTCATCTTTTGTCCTGGAGCAGATTTTTTTTTTTTTTTTTAACCATGTCGACAGTTTATTCGATTTGAAATATATACACATATCATAAATCAAGTGCACTGTAAATAAATAAATCAAACCCATTAAAAAAAAATAAACACCTTGCCCATATCTTGATACTTACCGACTACCTGAAGCCAAGACAGTCATACAGATTTGTATTTACTTTTTTTTTAATGTTGATTTGAATCATGTCTTAATAATGCAATAATGCAGTGAGCTCTGTCGCAGGACAATTTGAGAAGATGAAGTCGTCTTGACAAAGATCTACAAAGCAAACAGTGATGTCAGAGGAAAAGTGTCCTAATTAAAGAGTGTGTATCAACAGAAACAAAGGCGATGGGCAGGAGGCAGCTGAAAAAGGGCATTTTGTGCAGAGGCTAGAGCTTCGACGGCAGATGATAAAGGTTAATAAAATCCATCTTGTCAAGCAGAGATTTGCCTTTGGCTGAGGTTTGTTTGGTTCTAATGGCATGCCCGAGGCTGGAAGCAGTTCTGGGTCCTGCTACACCAGCTGGAGGACAACAACAGGTTTTGCATACGTGACCTTTAATCAACATGAGACTTTCTGGATCACAGCTGGCCAAAGGCCTCAAGCTGGTGTCCCGAGGTGCAGTAGTAGCCTTGTTGTTCCTTCACTGTCACATTTGGCGGCATGACAGTCTAATAGAAAACGACTACACGCGAGTCGGGTGGATGAAAAGTCCATCACATATTCGAACTTACCCACGGCTTTGAGAGAGGTGTACTTGTTGAGTCCCACTGTGCCATGACTGCTGTGAGAGTGAGGAATGCCTTGTCCTAATGGGCCATGAGCCGAGTTATTTAGATGGTACTGTTCTAGTAGGACACAGAAACATACAAACACACACAGTCAGTGGTTTTTCCAAGAATAGCTAAAAAAAGAGTCCACAACTTTCCCAGGCGAAGGTCACAAAAGTTTAGTTTTGAATGACATACTGTAGTCTTTTGGCTTGCATGCTTAAAAAAATAAATAAATAAATAAATAAATTACCACGCTCGAATCAAGTGTAATTGCACGTCCACTACAGTAGGTGGCAGTAGCACTCTCATTGACGTAGGGAGTGTAAACAATGTTAAATTTCTTCAGATTTATATCATGTACAATGTTATTCAAAAGTGTACTTAGACAAATGATACTGTATTTCGCTGCGGCAGAGAGTTGGGGGTAGGGGGAGCAAAATATTTTCTATTTTCCTTGGCGGCAAGCGTAACGGAAAATAATTGAGAAGCACTGGGTTCAGCCCATCCACAAAGAGGAAACTCAACATGACTCCATTGATGCAAACAGATTTGTTAGGATAGCAAATATGTGCTTGCGTTTTGTTTCGACAACGTTGGCTTTGTCATTATTTTGCCAGGCAACCTAAGTGTCAAGTCAAATGAGAATAAAAGTGGAACGACGCTCTGTGGCACAGCACACAATGAGATCATTATAACAATTGTGGATGATACTGTAATGTCATGGACCCAAGTTGGAACACCCTGCCCCAGATAGTCCCCGCATCTTTCTGCAGAGGGCTTTTGTTCGCATTTGGAGCCTGTTTTTCGCCCACTTCCTAATCCACCTGTCACCTGTCTGCTGCTCTTCCCACCAGTTCTTCCGCTACGTCTCCCTGTCATCTTTCAAAATCAGCTCATTGCTCCCGTCGGCTCTCCGCTTGCTCGTTCTGTCACTTCTTCCGACACCCCACCCACCTACTTTTTTTTTTAAATGTTGTGTTCAGCCTTGTTTTGCACATTGGGAGTGGATAATTTTGCATTTTGATGTCATTTCTGAAACAAATATTCAATTCAAAGTTAGCTTTGCGGATTCATCCCAGTCGGATCAAAAACCGTGGAATGAAACAAATTCCGTCTTAGGCCAACGTGAGACAGCAACCCCCCGACCCTGATATCCTGTCATTCCCATGCCAAATGAAGTGAGGTTAATGAACAATGGAACAAACTAGCTGGGAGAGTAAAGCCGCGGTTATTAGCATTAATGAAGTCCACCGATGCAGCCAACGCACTTGATGTCAGCCTCGGGGATGTTTGCAGCGCACACACGCGCCACACGGGAGGCTTTTAAGTCCGTTTTGGGGAGAGTGCAACCAAAATCGGGGGCGTTCCGAAAGATGGCCACATCTTTTAACCCGTAAAATGTGCGGGTCGGTGCCCGTTTGAGTCGCAGATGTTTCATTTCATAGAATAAGTATTGTGTATTTGCGCACGCGCAAGTCAAGTGTACTCGGCACCCGCATCAAAGACAAATCATCTCATCACTTCAATGACTGTCGGTGAAATGCGATACACGGCGAAACTTGGGAATGCTAATCTCTTGTCACACACTGGAAAGAGAGAGAGAGAGAGAAGTGAGCGTCACTTGCGGTTAGGCTGATGAAAGCAGAGAGGGCGGGTGGAGCAAGGCAGGATGTTCCGGTGAAATAAATTAAGAGATTAATGTGGAAGCCGGAGAGGTGGAGAGATGTCAGGAGTTACACTTCACTGTAATACTTTCGATTCCCGTCTTTAAAAAAAAAAAAAAAAAAAAATCCTCCACCATATAATCCAGTGACCTCTAAGCATGTGACATATATATTGCAAGGGAGGAAAAAAAAGACATTGCAGAAATGTTTGAGCAGGAAATTCACTGAGAAAATTTCCATTGTATCCAGTACCCACGGAGAAATAGAAACCTCAATCTATGAATCAGAGAAATGTCCCAAAATATTTATGTAATGGGAACATCCACTGTGGACTCTATTTATTGCAAGCCAACACATAAAATGCAAACTGAGGGGATTTTGGCCATTCCGTTGTGAAATTCAAGACCCCAGAGGTTGTGCACGTTAAAGAAGATTGGCACTGGGGAGTTTTTAAATGCAAAATATCAAGAGTTATGTAATGACTTATCTGCAAGCGGCGAGTAATTAAGGTGTGCAAATAAGACGGGGCATCACGAAGAAGCACGTAACCAATTCTGAGTTGTTCCCTTTCTGCACTGCAAAAAATAAAGGACGTTAGTTCAAATTACCTTCTCACTTTAGTCTCATTTTAAGTTAAAAAAAAAAAAAAGAAAGAAAAACAAGAGGCTTCATTTGACGACATTGCTTTGTAGCGCTTGAGGAACAAGGCAGAAATAATGTTCGACCCGCATATGTAGGGACGGTGAATTCAGTTTCCACTTTTCCGCTGGTGTGCCATTGTGAGTGCTCACGACCGTGAAAGAACAGTGAATGCCAGCACATTTTTTTTTTTTTTTTAATAATAAAGCGTGCGTGTGCGTGTGTATGTGTAATGAGACCTAAAAGAGGACGGGGAAAGCAAAAAAGCAGAGAGGTCTTTGTCTGGGTGAAATCGAAATGCCCCCGTGTGTATTCTGAGACCCTGCAAAAGTCCAAATGAAAAATGTAACTTCAGCAGCACGCCATCATCTGTGCGACAAGTCGTTTCGCACGCTCTAACCTTGCCTGAGAATTGAGAGTGTGTGCAAATGTTTGGATAAGCAACGGCTCTAAAGTGCTTGGGGTCAAAGTTCAATTAAAGGTGAAAAGTGGATATTGATGATCAGTTGTTGTGCTGTCACGTTGCTTCTGCAGTCGTGTTTGTTAAATAGGTCAGCTTTTTTGTTTCTTGCTTCCAGCTTTTTTTTATTTTTTTTTCTGCAATGAGTCATGTTTGCCGGGAATATTGGACCGCATTTTTTTGCTTCCCATCCTCACTGAACATTGCTAATCTTCTAATGGCTCACATAAACTTCCAATTTTTTTTTCTGAAGGGAATGGTTACCACAGCCAGAATCGCAGCAGCCCTTTTTTTTTTTTACCACTTGCCTCGTATCCTTTTAAACATGCTCAATTAGCCCGCATATGTGTGTTTAATCAGCATTACCCCCACCCCAACCCTCACCGCACCCCCCCAAAGGCTCTCTGCTGTCTATCCTACTGTGGAAAAACCAATACTGCTCAGCTGTTTAGAGCCCATGCAATCTATCCAATGTTCCACTTTGCCGCGTGGCTCAATTTACATACACGGATCACGTGGCGGCAGTGAAAAAAAAAAAAAATAAAAACAATCAAATGCATTTTAATATACGATATAAGACGACACCGGCGAGTGGCATGCACCTCATTCATATGGTTTTTGTATATGCATGTTTGTGCACAAAATAGCACATGCTGCCTAAAGGGGTCTCGCCTGCTTACATTACCATACTAATTAGAAAGTGTGTGCATGCCGTCCCGCAATTTTGCACGTGCAACAAGCATGTGTTCCACTTAGAATCACAGATGCTTTCACTGTCCTCACCCCTTTTGACTCCATCACCCCTGGCAATCCAAACTGAGCGCTAATTCAGTTCTGCGTTTCGCCGGTGATCGGTTTCAAGTTAACGTGTGACATGAACATTTTTGGGGGGGAATTATGAACTACTGTGTAACCTCTGCTTAGCATGTTACGTAACCAAACGAGTGCGCTTTGCCTTTTCTAAATCCACAGTGCACCACCAACCAGTGGGAAAGCTAACATGAGCCTGACCACTTGTTATTCCACTTCCAAAAACACACTTCCAACATTTTTGATGCTTCCGATCAATCTGACAATGTGAAGTTGTAGTTTTACCGCTTCGTAGTCCTGCAACCTTGATGGAAAAGCGAAGTTGAAAGACTGACGACGTGTGGCCAGAAGGTTAAAAAAAAAAAAAAAGCCTGCGGGACTATCAAGAGTGACAGACTTTGACTCTCTCACTTGTGTGTGTGTGTGTGTGTGTGTGTGTGTGTGAGAGTCTGCGTTTGTGTGTGTCAATATATGCAGCACATGTGTAGCACAGCTGACAGGAAGAAAAATATCACGGGGCTTTTTCACGGACTGAATAATAAATTGACTGACACATCGGATGATGTAAACAAATCATGTGTATGTAACTAAGAAGGCTGGCGCACTTGCGTCGGTTGAGTTTGAGGATAACCGACACTCAAATTTCAAGAAAGAATACTTACGTTTTTTTTTTCTGCGCGATTGTTTTGATTGCGCCACGGTGTAAATAGTTTGCTGGACAACAAAATGCGAGTGTCACTTTATTAGGTACACCTTTGTGCATGTCTTAAAGTGCGAATCATATTTGGGCATTGACATGACCACACCTGTAGCCATCTTGGACATTGTTATTCCTATCAATGAAATTGTTGTCCAAGTCAGTCAAACTGTCCACGCGCCCCCCCTCCCATTTTTTTTTTCCTCACCGCTCCTGCTGCGCTTCATCCTGGACGAGACGCCATTGGCTCTCCCTCCGCTGGGCGAACTGGTCACGGCGTTCTCCACCGGGCTCACCTCTGCTCCTTGTTGCTTCAGCAGGTCGGTCAGTGTCCTGGGTGGGAAGAAAATAAAGACTTGTTTTTAATCACTTTACTCAACATTGGTGGTTAAATTGCTGAGCTGTATTCAAATGCTTGTTTTTTTTTTTTTTTTCCCTCAGAGAAAAAAAAAATCACAAGCAGCACATTTCCAACATTCGTGTTTTGCTTTGCTCAAGGCTGAAATCCAGTCGTACTTGACCGGCGGCTTGTTTTGCTGTACAACAGATGGACAAGGTTTCCTGCAATATGGTCCTTTTGGAATCGAGCGTTTTCTGCGCGCTGACACATACAGCACAGTCGTAAACACAACACAGATTTCTGATGTTAGCACTGATGCTATTCACTCCCTTGATCAATAATTCAAACAGTAGTGCCACTGTTCTGCTAATGAAGCACACATGGCGGCGCACACACACACACACACACACACACACACACACACACAAACCTAGAACACGACCCGAGCTGACAGCCAGCGGCAACTTGTTAACACCAAAGTAGAAAAGTGCAGCCCACCGGCCACGGCTGTGATCCTTCTACAGATTGTCTGTGGTAGGGATGATGTCATCGTAAAAATGGTGTCACAGATGCCAAAATGGGAGCGCTGCGGGGATTTTGTTTATGGCATGGAGGTGTTTTCTATGTCGGATGATAAAGCTGACTGATCGGCGAGAAGTAAAACGACCCTCGTGAATGTCACGGCTTTTTGTTTTATGCAGAAGTAGCCTGACTTTTTTCAGGGCAGATTTCAAAATCACTCAAGTAGAGGTTGAGGGCCGTACCGGTAGACACACATGATCGTATTCATTCATTCAAATTGATTCCAATCTTAATCATCTTACTGTGATGGTGTCATTTTGTGCGAGTGAATGACTTCATTCAATTTGGACACTAAGTTTTCCTGTTTTCAATACTTGCCTTGGTTGCGACAAAATTATAATCCTTTCGGTTTCGACTAGACCTCACTCCCCACCCTCCAACTAAAATCGGTCCCAAATCTGTCTATTCCCCCCTTTTCCCTCTTTTAAGCATACCGTTAGTCTTCATCCCCCCCCTGGTCTGACTCATTGCCATGCAGAGCCCCGGGCCACCACGCGCGCCTCTATTGGCTGGCTGCTCAAACAACTTGCTGATTTGGACTTTTAATCTTCGACAAAAAGCGCACCTGTCCTCGAGCAATGCAGCGTTTATGGAGCCTTGGCTCAGCGTCATGCGACTTTCTGGTGAGGCCTTTGAAAGAGGGATAATGGCAACGCCATGGGCTGGTTTGAAGGATTAGGACTCGCCGGGCGACGATGCAAATAGCTAGCCTACGGTATTTGCAAATGAAATCCAAATCAGTGAAGATATTAATCACTTTGGGTTGACTCTCTATTTTTTTGTACCTAGATCTATAAATCTAGAGAGCAATGACACAAGGCAGAAACTGCTGATATGCTTCAAAAGACTGTTTGAATTGAAAAACATGCATGTCGTCGCGCCGGATTATTATTTTTTTCTTCCCAATACACTAAATTTAAAATAATGTGAGCAGTAAACTCCCTTTCCATTTTAGAATTGCACTCAATACATCATCGGGTCAGGTCACTGCTATTTTACATCCAAAGGATAAAACCCAACTTCAGGAAACCACAGCAAATATTAAAGTGCTCACATATGATGTTCCAATGCGTAACCTTCAAATGTTATGTAACAGCATGTCAGACAGCTGTGGGGTCAACCGCTTACACGCCCCCCCCCACCCACCCGAACAACCACATTGCCCCCACAGGGTAGGTGAGACTTCATTAATGTCCTCCTGTGACAATCAATAACAATAATGTCGGCCACGTCGGAACACGCTTGATTGCTAACAGCCAATACAGCATCTTATCGATCGCATATACAGCGCTGAACAAACGTACAGGATTAGCCACCGTGTCATAACACGACACGTCATGTCACCATTTTGAACAGGAAAGAGGGATTCTGAACAGAATGCTCTTTTAATCAAGCAGGCGATAAAACATATTTTTATTATGTATTTGTTTTAGCGAAAAAAAAAAATATCCTTTCGCTTGGAAAGCTTCTGGTTCAGAAACATTAAAAAAAAAAAAAAAAAAAAAAAAAAGACATGTGTATTAACCGTGCTGCTAATTGAGGACAGCCGTGGCGTAAAGCTACATATTGGGCGAATAAAATTGTTGAGCACTTCCATCACGCGCTCCTTGCGTTTCATCTCGATGACTTTAAAGTCACACTGACAGATCAGTGATGGTCGGTCCTCCTTTGCCCCCTGTCAGTCCGATAATCTACTTAGGCCGCACATCTTGGCCAAATTGGACTTGGCAGCGTGCGGTTTATCTGGAAAGACAACGCTTTGAGATAATCTTTCAGTGAAAACACAAAGTGACCCTGGCAAAAGTGTCGCCGTTTCACAGTCACTTCTCTTCTGTAGTCTCTCGGTCACTTCATCAAAAGGTTCAAGGGATAGAGCTCGCTGCCTGATAAAATGAAGATTAGAATAAGAATAATTTTATAAACTTAAATAATAAAATGTTCAAATGCCAGTCGTCAGGATTCAAATGTAAAAAAGCTGACTGTCGTTGAGATGTGAGGCATCCTTGCATCGCCTTGAAACCAGCACCAAACCAGAGAGCCAAACAAGGGAAAAAGAAAAATGCTGACCCACATCGAAGCGTTTTTGGGGGGCCCGGTGGAAGCCGGCGAGACTCAAGCAAGGCAAGCGGCAGAAGGAGAAACAAGAGGAAGAATACTGTTGCCGAAGGAGAGAGGGGGGGAATTGACATATTTGATGTGAAGTTGTCAACGCAGATGTGATCGGATTGGAACCGAGTATACGTAGTCTCACGTGCGACATTTCTGCGCACTTTGGCGCGTTTGCTGACAAGCATAAACAGACGTGAAGATGCACTTCAACCGGCAATTTCGGTGGCAGGTGAGAGGTGATAGACAGTGACAGCTCCGCCTCGGAGCTAAGCACAAGAGAAGAAAAGATGGAGGAAAGATTCAGACAGAAACTTGCTGAAAACTTGTCATTTCATCTTGCACATCACCCATTTAAAGCCCGGCGTGATTTGCCTGGAGTGTGTCTTTCATCTGTGTTCAAACTAGAGGAAGTCATGGAGGAAAAAAATGGCGGCAGCAGCAGAGGAGACAAAGCTCATCAGGGAGCCGTTGTCACAGATGACAGTGTTACGGCCCGAATGAAACCCGTTGCTGATTACCAATAGGGAACATTTGTTCGGAATATTATAAATATTAATTTGATCACATGCGTAATTGATTGCTGGGGTGGGGGGGGGGGTTCTCATTTTCGGTTCGATACTTCTGTGGAAGCTTTCCGCATAGATGTTACCACAAAGAATGCCAGGAAAAGATGACGAGAACATCTGAAGTTTATTTGGGGTTAGGCAGCGGCATTTTAAATGGTGGCAGGTGTGTGCGGACTATTGATTTTTAATGCGATTGCTTTTTACCTCTCCGCCATAAAGAATTGATTTTTCATTTTCTGGCATTTACACAGGAGCGCGTAGAAGTTTTTCTCGGCACCGTAATCCCAAAACATCTATTTGACAAACATCCCCATTTAGACCGACCACGTGGCTGCAAACTGTGATGAACCTCGATAGCAGTATTCTGTCAAATATCTCCAGATTTCTTTTGTTGTTGTTTTTGTCAGACATGTCCGTATGCACCGCAGTGACTATTGCATATCTATCCAACCTAAATCAGGTCAGCAGTCAAATACTTTTAAGTGACTCTATCCTTCATTACGTAACGTTGTGGCTAATAAGCCTACTGCACACGCGAACGTGCATGCCAAGCCAGTCAAACATACTGCAGATCCATATGTGTCACCCCCGCCACCTCCCTCCAGAAAAATAAAAAAATAAAAAAAAAACATGCCAAGAAAAATAGTGACGATCGATCATCTCATTGGGCACACATGACTCATATCTGTATGTGGTCACCCACACACACACAAATGTATCCACAGACTGTATTTATGCTTTTTACCTCTTGAAGTGCTGACGGTATATGACATGTGAAATACATGAAGCAGGGATTTCTGTCAGCATACGTAATAACTTAATCAATGTGCATACGGCGCAGTCCAGAGACGGTAAAACTGTAATCTTGGAGAAACTGGTTTAATCTGAGTGAGAGGGGGTAATCTTTTGAAATGAGGAGAGGCCACTGATGTGAGCAGGGTGCTCGGGGAATATTGAAGAGACGCATCATATCGTTTTGCGTGGTAAAGAAACTATTAAGAATGTGAAGATGGAAGAAAGTGACGCTTATAGTGGAAGGATGCTTGAAAGGTGAAATGAAGAAGTGGGTAGAGTATGACGCAACGCGGTTGGGACCCAGATCAACTTCTGTGCTGCCTGGAGGACTTTGTTCAGAAGAAATGGGGAAGGGAAGCGAGCAGAAGAAAAAGAATAGCTGATCACGAGGAGGAGGAGATGATGTCGGTTTGATGCGGGAAATGCCGAGAGGACTTTGGGGGAATGCAAACAGCATGATTTGTGATCAAGTGAGCGAAGATGGCACAGGATGTAAATGTTTGAAAAGGATGCGAGGCCGTGAAGGTCACCTGTGATGAGAGTAGGGGCTGGGGGTCATCATTGCCTGAGGAGCACATGACCCATGGACCATGTATTTATCCTGACTTTTGGTTGCCCCCCCCCCCACCCCCAAACTCGTCCTTCGTTACGTTTTGTTTTTATCTGCCAAAACAGGGCCCTGCAAAAGGCGACCCGGCCGACTGTATTCCCCTGTTGATCATTCAACTTTATGTCTCTTTGGTCACGTCGTGCCTGCTCCATTTCTTTGCACCCTGCGGTACAATGACAATAAAGCTATCCTGCTTGGGATTCTATTTGACTCGACACTAAATGTTGCACACACAAAGTCAGTCGGGGGAGCTTGAAGCATCGATTGCAGCAAAGATAGCTAGCTCAATTAGTGTTCTTCAAAATCTTTGGTTTATTTCAGATATAAGTCATGCTTACAAGCAAAGCAAATGTTACACCGGGGATGAAATATAAAGATACGTGGGGGGGAGGGGGAGGGGAGACAAAACAAAAGATGGGAAATAAGACACACAGAGAAATAAAAACAAAGAAAAATACCAAATTAGACACAAATGAAAATAAATGTGCTGCAATGCTGCATACTGCAGGGTCTCCAAAACAGTGACTCATTAAAAATGATGTGACTCATCTAACAACCTAAAAGTCAGCTGAGATTTTTTTACTGGCTATTTTGGGTCCTGATGTCTTCCTAATTTGATTTTCTATCATCCCCGTGTTTCCAACCATGCATCCATCATGGCAGCCGTAGCCTATCGCAGCTGACTTTGGGCGCAAGGTGGTACACCCTGGACAGGTCGCCTGTCAAATTATACGTTCCCGTGTCCCAAATAAAAACTATTACTCAACTATTTCTACAGGATTAGTCGACCAGCTTCTGATGTGAAGATGCTCCGTGTTAGTTTCACATTTGTGCAGGGAGAACAAACATGCACACGCCTTCAAATTTGCATGCTTCCATCTTGGTTGTAAAGTTGTACACTGATGTCATTGTCTCGCACTGGGACACTTTAGAACCTCAGTCGTGTGTTCCAATATGTTTTTTTTTTCTTGATTTCTCTTGGGAAGAAAGAATCATTTCCAACTTTCCAACCGTTTCCCAAAACACATGCATGTGCACCGCGCATACAGTCGACTCACCGTTGCATGCCGACGGCACGAAACACTGTCAGCTGTATAAACGAGTGGCCAAAGCTTCCAGGTCCAATATGTGGAGCTAAAGTATCAAGTTACTTTTGTTACTCTGTCCGCTCTTTTGTACAGCTGAGTGACATGAAATTGTGTCATGCCTCCTACCTGGAGTTGAGGTCAGCGTGTGTGGCCGCGGTCGCCCCGCCTCCTCCTCCGCGACTTTTCTCCAGGCCCAGTTTGGTGAAAATGCCCACCAGCACCATGATGGCCACCACGCCGCAGATGATGTAGACGATGAGGTGCGTGCGGTCCCGCTCCTGGTCCTCCTGGCCCTCGGTGATGGTGGCCACGGGTTTGCCGGTGTTGGCCCAGATGGGCGTGTCGTAGTTGGAACAGATGCGCTGGTCCAGCCGCTGCTGGCGGAACTGGCAGCAAAAGCGATAGAAGCAGGTACCGCAGCAGTACAAAAAGACACCGGCGTTGCAGTTGAAGGGCGGGTCCCACTGGCCCATCACGTCGTAGTAACCCTGGCAACGCGTCCCGCCGACGGGGGGGCCGTCCTCGTCGTCTGCATCGCCCCCACTGGAGGTAGTGGACAGACCAGTGTCTTGAGGGGGGTTTTGGGTCGTCTCCACATAGGTGGGAGTTGTCTTGTTGGCCAGCGTAGAAGGGACAACGAAGGGGCTGTCTTGGGTCACCGTCACCGTGGCGACGGACGGATCTTGAGTGACGGAGGGCTGGGTAATTAGGAAAGAGAGGTAAAAGAAGAAAAAAAGATGGCAGGAGGGAGGAAGGACTGGTGCCATGCTGCCGACAGGGGCCCTCTGTCCAAAGTCCAGCCTTCAACTAGAGGAGAGTTAAAAAAAGGGAAAAGGTAAGAGGCAAGAAGTTTGATTTCAGTCCAAGTGTATGCATGAAATAAATAAATTAAAATACCAATGTACATTTACACAATCCTTCAAGTGTTTCAATTCCAACCTCACCCAAAATCCAAGAAGATAAGCTTGACAGTCTTGGTCTGTTCGTATGTCTCAAGTTTTTTTTTTTTTTTGGAGGGGGGACATCAAATTAAGTGCCTCTCTTTCTTTTGAACTGACCTAAAAACACTGGTTGAATATGGATCATCTGCTCAAAAAATGAAGCATCACAACATATCACAGAGAGGATACTGACAATTAACAACACCACGATTATTTTGGACTCAAGTGGGTCTCGACCGTACATGTAGAATCCACATCTGAGGCAAATTCATCAAGATCAGTCAAAACAAACCAATTAGAAAAAATACAAATCACCTTCCACAAAAAATTTGAATGTCCGCTTTTTTTTTTTTTTTTGGGACACAATTTCAAGAATCACCATAAAGCGCTCTGAATTCCCTGCTCTCACCTTTTCCCCTCAGTGTTGTCTTCTGAAATACTCCCCCAAAAGTCCAAAGGTTCAAAATTCCCTTTAGAAACACAAGCAAAGTTTACTCAGCAGCATCTTTACCCCCTTGCGAGCTCTTCCTTTCTCCTCTTTTCATGTGTTCTCCATCCTTGATTGAAGAGAACTGCACGCTCCTCCTCTTCTTCTTTCTTGTGTTGAAATCAACTCTCTACCTTCTTCTCGTCCTCTCGTCCAGTCTGTTCAGTTCTGCCAGCTGCGAGTACACAACTGTCCTGCCCAGTTAAAAAGTGCCCAGAGCAAAACATGAGTTTATGTGTGTGTGTGTGTGTGTGTGCGTATGAGAGGAGGAATGCTACACTGAGTGCTGCAACAGTTCGGGAACCAAACCAGCTCTCATCCTCTCTGTTTACCTCTCATCAGAGAGAGAAAAAGAGAGAGAGGGAGGGAGAGAGAGCGAGAGAGAAAGAGGGAGATGGGGAGGGTGTAAATAAATATTAAAATAACTATTTAGGGCTGCAGTGTAGTATTCATCTTGCTCAAAATGACAAAACATTCCCATTGAGTCGATAGTGTATCAAAAAAATATAATAGTTACCGTTAAATTCAAAACTATAAGCCGCAATTTATTTTCCCATCTTGAACCCCCAAGCGTGCACAGCCGCAAACAGGACATAATGCCGACAATGCAGACTTTCGGGTTGCAGGGAAGTCATTGGCGGCACCAAATTGTAAAATTTTGGTCCGTAGTTGTCAAATTTTTGCTGTGCATTGTTTGCATTTAAAAGCAAAATAGTACATGACATTTAAAAGCAAAGTAAATAAATAAAAGTACTATTTACTGTAACTCAGGTAGCACAGATTGCACAACGGTTTTGAAGACGTCAAATTGTATCAAGTGACATTTTGTTGTTTTTTTTTGGATCAACTGACATGGTAGTTGAGTTACTCCTCAGTGATTTTAGGTTTTGTTTTAGTTTGTGATTTTGCATTGCACATCTGTTGAGAGGCATTCTGGTGAATTATACTCGTGTCTTAAAATTTCCTTGGCATTACAGCTCAGCGACATAATTTCCTCATCTTTCATAATTTCTGTCAATTTCTTGAGCCTCTGAGTGTGTTAGTGTGAAACATGCAGAGGACACTCAACATCTGCTGCGGTCACTCCTGCTCATCATCTCCTTATCGGTACGCCCGTCCCCGTCTGTTCTTGCTTTTGATGCACGCATGCGCGCACACACTCTCAACCCTTCCTTTCCTCTTCTGTCTGTTGGCACCATTCCTCACCCTTCCTGGCCTCCTCATTCCCAGATATCCGTGTTGCAGGTGTGCACGCGTATGGTTCGAGTCCAGAACGTTCACAGGTCGTCCGAGTCGCACTGCAGCTTGGCCACACGTCTGCCAACGCTAACACAACTCTCACATGAAAGGGTGTTAACGTCGAGCCAAGTTGCATGAGATTTTTTTCCCCCCCCTAAACCACCGCATGGACATTTGTAATGTAATTCTAAGCCAGATTGACAAGGGCCTTTTTGCTTCGCTTTCCACTAAATCGCCTCTGCGAAAATCGTCCTCCTTTATGTGTCGTCATCTCAAAGCAAACTCTGCGCATCCTCCACGTTCTTTTGCGTGCTGTGTGTGTGTGTGTGTGTGTGTGTGTGTGTGTGTGTGTGTGTGTGTGTGTGTGTGTGTGTGTGTGTGTGAGTATAAGCGAGAACGGGAGTGTAATGGAGAGATTGAAAAGATGAGTGTAAATGTAGGACAGCGGGGAGGAGGTTGACTGAGTAACAAAGAAAGGAAAGTGGGGGAGGAATAGCGAAGAAGAAATGTTTGGCTGGAAACCAAAGAGGAAGATAGTCACATGGGGCAATGAAGTGTGTTTGGGTTTAGTCCCAGTGAAAATATGTAAATTACATTTTGATGGATTGTGGTGATGTTTGCCAACATGCATGCATCGTTCGTTTTGGCGCCCTCCTCTGGTCACGCCGGGAATTTTACCTTGACCAATTTGGGTACACTACGACGTATGTCAGCCAGGAGTAGCGTACACCGTTACAAGTATATTAATACAGTGTAAAACCTTTAATACTACCTATATTTAATGTAATTGTATTCGGAATCTTATCTGTTTGTTTTCACAATAGAGTTTTGATGTTGACATTTGAGTTCTCCCAACAAAAGTTCTCAAAATGACATCGAGTGATACAACGTGCCCCCACACAAATTATATCGCACAACAATGTATTAAAATACTTAAACTTGCCAATGAAAACAAAAGTTTTTTTTTCCAGCTCTAAAAAGTGCTTACCACCCATGGACCTCAAGAGAAAAAGGGAAGAGTCAAAGGTGGGAATTGGACCTGTGCCACATTAATTATTGAAGTAGGGGAACACTTAAACATTTTAGTTCCACCCTTTGAGATATATATATATATATATATATATATATATATATTTCCCACAACAGAACTCAAGCACAAATGGTAACATCATCATTTTGAAATCCAATATTGTATTATGAAGTATAATAGATTTAAAGAATCCTTATAAAGAGTACCTTTTTATTTTATTTTTTTATTCAACTTCATTGTCAAATGTGCTGTATACATACAGCACAGATGAAATTTCTCTTCTGTTTAAATGGCAAGCAAATAAACTGTGTGTGCGCGCTCGCGCGTGTGTGCGTGTGTGCGCGTGTGTGCGTGTGTGTGTGTGTGTGTGTGTGTGTGTGTGCGTGTGTGCGCGTGTAATGTTTGGAACCAGGAAGTCTAAATAACGCCAATTAATTAGTGTTTATCTTTTTCTAGAAGTCTATTCGCAAAGGGCCTGTAGGTGTCCAATTATCGTGTCCCCCCTACACATGCTCTCACTCTCCCCAATGTGTTGAATATTTAATATGAATAATTCAAAGTGTTGATGAATATTCATATTTTAGCTTTTTTTTTTTTTTTTGCATGTGTTTGTATGTGTGTGTGTGTGTCTCCACGAATAACACTAACTCAAATTCTGCTTCTTTTGTTATCACTCCCAATCATGCAGTCCCTCTGAAAAGTAAAAGTGCCAAGTGTAATTTGAATGGGAGGGGAGAAAGATTTGTGATGCCAATGTTTGAGTTGCGAGCATGGTCATGGAATGAATTCATCTCAAACCACCATTGCCCTTTTAAACAATCGGTGAAATGAACTAAACAAGCTACTACTTGGCTTTTTTTTTGGTTGGTTTTTTTTTTTTTTTGTTTTTTGTTTTGCTCTCAGCTTTGCTCATGATGAAGCATTTTAATGAAATGCACTCAACATTGTTCAGTTAACCGGCACTTTAGTTGCATTTCTAATGTTTGTGTGCACACGCTCATTTATTCATGCGACCACGTTTTAATATGAAGGGTGCATTCGCCGGGGAAATGGAAATGATCATTGCAAATTAAAAATCCCTCACGAGGTTTGGATTCAATTGTGTTTACTCCCCTTGCATATGAAAGAAAAAAAATATGTATATTTGCAGCGATAAAAAGTTTAATTGACAGACGTGTAAGGTTTGTTCCTTCCGGCATTGAGAAACTGCTTTCTTTTGGATTGTCACTTTTATATGCTCATAAATGCTGTGCGTGTGCTTCGAATAATAATGCCACATGATGCTTTGCTCATGCACAGCAATGGCCACAAATACTTTCAACGTCACGTGTGACTAAATATGTAGAAAATTTGAATTTGAAAACGTGTTTGCTGGCGCAGCAGCACTACAGTTTTAATATAAAAGGATGTAGGTTGGTAAACTTTTGATTGAGATGATTTCCTTAAAATCCATGACTTCGCCTGAAGCGTGATGTAATCCCACAAATTATGATGTCCACACAGAGGAAAAAAGCAAACTGTGCCAAATGGGACTGAAAATGGAGCGGAGAGTAATGAAAGTCTGTTAGTTACGCGAATGCTCCCTGATGTCCCCCCCCGACCGATTGACTGCACTCTCACTTGGCCAATTAGAAAAGCAAAGACAAAAGAGGTCAATCGTGTCCACAGGGCTCAGAATTAACAACAGCAGCGCCACCCTCATATGCGAACATCACGCAGCCATCGTTGTTTATTTGACTCTTGCTCGAGGTCAGCTGATCGGCATACTTGTTGAGGAATCAATGTTGATATTTAGACAAAGTCAACGGAGCATAAATACGCTCATTGGACAGGAATTTAGAAATGTAATAATGTTCACTTTTGATTGAAGAGATCTTTTAATTTACAATACAGACGGTACTAAGAGCTGTTTCTATTTTTTGTTACAGTGGCGATAAAAAGTCTACACACCCCCTGTTCAAATGCCAGGATTGTCTGGACATAAATGACACCAAGATAAATCATAAATTAGGAATAAACTTCAGCTCCAAGCGGCATTGAACCTGTTTTAAAAGCCTAAGCCAGGAAAAGCCTGCTAGAAAAGCTAATTTATTTGGTGCTGACCAGAGCCTCTTTAACTTGTTTACCTCTTTCAGATGGTTTACAAATGCAAACCAAAGACTTTGTCACTGTCATCAGAATAATGTGTGTGTGTGTCTGTTTCTGTACTAATGCCCTTTTGGACCTCGCTGTCATTGGTGACCTTTTCCGAAATGAAAGGAGATGCAAATTTGCAGCTTCATTTCAGACCCGCTACAAGTCATTTCCACCAGCAGCTCCTGTGGGGCCGCTTAGCTCGGGCAGAGCGCCACCGGCATCCTTTTCTCCACACAATCATAATGAATCTCATTTGCCCGTGCCTTTGTGTCAACCTGTCCTGTTTCTGTCACCATTGCCTCTGAAGTTCTGCGCTTATTTTATTTGACTGACCGATACAGTGGCTGCAGCGGCGGTGGACCCGCGTCAGTGGGATGAAGGATGGAGATGAGAGCTTCGGTCCTCGAGGGCCCGTGGCACTTTTGGAGCTCAGCGCAGTTCATTAGCGGCAGGGCTTTGGGACTTATCGGCTTCGCTATAGGAGGTCGTGAGGCTACATTGGGGAGCTGCTTCAACACGCGTGTGTGCCATGTGTTGAGAATCTACATGTGAGCTTTAGCATGGGATCATGTGTTTGTTTTGAGAGCTGAAGGAGAAGTCGGCTGGTGCTCCAGGGGATTGGGAGCAGCCAATGAAAGTCAAAGAAGACATGCAAAGCGCTCTTTCAGTCCAGCTATAGACGGATTATATGCAGAGGTCACTTGACAAAGAATTCCCCAATCGGTTAAACCTCTTTAATTTTAGTGTGCTGATCTGTGGACGTATTGGTTGAATGCAGTTGGTCCCCTTATGATCATTGCCCACCTTAGAGTGTTTCATTGTGGGAGGCCTAAGGCACACCTGTGCAAAAATCACATGGATCAATAATCAGAATCTTGATATGGGACAACCCCACAGTCTTTTTTCTTATTTTTCAATTGTAAAATACAATATGATAACGGAAGATTTGAAGGTACATAATGCAGACCATATTTCAAAAGTCGAGACTATGTTCATATACATTTTTTGTCGTTTGAAAATAATTTCTGTGCAATGGCGCCCCCTTGTGGCGAATTGCAGTTTTCTTCCATTCCCTGTTGCGTTGGTGGTAATGTGAGCAGATTTTAGAGCACTTAAATTTG